CGCTTTACACAATTGATGTGTGTATGGATTGGGATAACAGTTGTATGAGCCCCTAATAAAATGTTAAAAAAAAAAAAAAGAATGAAGCCAGTGGTAGAATTCTTCAATTTATGCATCACTGCCTTTAAGGGCTAGTGCATAAATTTGAATAATACTTGTATCAATTGGATTTCCTTATATGCAGACAGATATTATCCTATCACAAGGCAGCACTGTACATTAAAACAGATCTTTTGCTCTTTTTATCAGTGAATGCAACCCATCCCTCTTGATTATGTCATTCCCAGCTTAAACCATATTTTCTGGTTAAATATGACCAGTAAGTCTATTTCAGCTCACACATGCCTCGAGTATCTATTTTTAAGTGCTGTTTCATTTTTTAGTTCCAAATTTCCTAGATTCATAACTCGTAAATTCCAAGTCCCAATTACTGATGCTTGAAGCTGCTACTGCTTCTCATTTTGAGTCATGCTATACCAGCAATTGAAGGTCTCAGAGAATGCACCTGTTTATCAGCCATACTTCTTCTGAATGCTTTTCGGCCTAAGGGACTCATCTTCTGGCTTTATCTCTGACAATGTTGTGTTCTATTCATGTGATTTTCAGTAACTGACAGTGATTTGATGGTATCCATGGGGTTTTCTATGGCTAATTCCTCTAAGGTAGGCAGCCTGCTCTTCATAGAATTTTTTTTAGTCTGGAAACTGCTAAAACCTGTTCACTTTCATTGACCGTGCTGGTATTTGAAATACTGTGACATAGCATTCAGCATCACAACAACACATAAGCTACCACATACATATGACAAATTGACAGACAAGTGGTAGTTATTTTTCTAAGAAGGAATGTCTCCATTATAAACAAACATTAACAAATTAGTGGATATAGGTTTTTTTACCCTGCCTACCCTGCTTTAGTATGTTTCTGGTCCTCAATTGTATTTTTCCTTCTAACCTTTCTTATTTCAATTCCAATATATTACAGGGCTGCGGATTAATGGAGAACTAATCACTGCCTACCCCCAGGTGGTGGTAGTGAGAGTTCCAACTCCTTGGGTACAAAGTGATAGTGACATCACTGTTTTGCGCCACCTGGAGAAGATGGGATGTCGGTTAATGAACAGGCCCCAAGCCATCCTGAACTGTGTTAATAAGTTCTGGACATTTCAAGAGTTGGCTGGCCATGGTGTTCCTCTACCAGATACTTTCTCTTATGGTGAGTTCACTGACAGAATGTGTAGCTTAAACTTTAGAGAACTGATGTAAATAATAGCATTATGTGACAAAATGGAAATTTATGAACGTGGAAAAACCTCTCATATAGAGGTAACTTTTAATTCTAGCAAACTATGAAAATGTTGAATCACATCAAGATTTATTTCCATGATTAGGAGTAGATTAGGGTTTACAAACTTGTATAAAGCTAGATTGTAACTTTGCAGAGCCTAAGATCTCTAGAAAAATTCTGCTCTGCTGTTGTAGTGTGAAAATTCCTATAGACAATATGTAAACAAATACATGTGGTTTAATCTTTGTTAAAATACTTTTTATTTTTCTCTCATACATGCACAGAGATGTGGTTGTGTTTAAATACAATTCTGTTAAGTAATTTCTTGGTATCTTTTAACAGTTTTGTAATAACCCTAAACATTTTTATACTTTTAAAAATGACACATAGGTATAAATCATACCTACTGTGATTTATACCTATGCTTCTATAGGTATCTGTGTTGAGACTTGTTAAAAAAAATCAATCTACTATAAATCAGTACTCTTTATAAAATGTAACTAAAATGTCACAAATATGCCAGATTGTTACAAAAGCTTTTTTTTTTTACAAAAGCTTTTTGTGCTTCCTTTTAGTATTGAGTCACATATCAATTAACAACCAATTTTCCCAAGTGAGAAAAGGCACAGGTTATAGAATCATACTTATTTTTAAGATTCTAAAGGTGGGAATTCCCCGTGATTGTATAGCACATATGGATACAATTCCCTTTTTTTGTCAGTTGCCTCAAACGAGACTCATTTGAATAAACTGAAAGTGTTTTCAGATAGATATAGGTTATGATCAGTCTACAATTTTCATTTTTAAATAACGGAAAGGAGAAAAGGTTAAATTTTTAAGGTTTTTAAGGTTTAAGATTTTGGAACAGAATCTTAATATTTGTAAATTGCAAATTTATGTTGTTATAACTAACATCCATTTTACATTAATCTTGCTACTACTGTATATCATTTGCTACTGAGAAGTAGAAAAAGGAACTAAATTTCACACTGAGTAGTTAAGTCTAGAAAAAACAATGACTATTATCTGAGAAAGAAAATCACTAAGCATGTTTTGATGATACAGAGAATGCTGTGTGCACTCACATGAGCTCACCATATTGTCAACTTTCTTTAGTGACTGACTTCAGTTTCTTAATTTGATCAAGTAATTCTATATAATGTCACTTGGGTGATAAAGAAATGAGAATTTAGAAATTGAAAAGTGAAACAATCAGGAAGATGTGGTACCTGAAAAGTACTTAATTTCTTTTAAGTTGCATATCAGAATGTATATATTTGTAAAGCAGCTGTTATTCATTGTAAAAAATGTGTTTGTTTTAAATAGGCATTAATCATACTTTCAGCTTATGTTTCGTTCTCCAAGAAAAACAAATAGAGCTATAGGTTCTTACCATCCACCTTCCTCTACATTGTCTTGTGCTGCCGCCACCTTTAATGTAGATAAAATATATAGCTAAAGTTCTTCAATTTGTTTTGTTTTGTTTGCTAGGTGGCCATGAAAATTTTGCTAAAATGATTGATGAAGCAGAAGTATTAGAGTTCCCAATGGTAGTGAAGAATACGCGGGGTCATAGAGGTGTGTATGAGTTGTTATAACACAGGACTGTGAATTCTTGAAAATTAAGAATGCCTTTGAGAAATAATGATGAATAAGGGTGATTATATAAAGTAATTTTTTTCTTTATCAGATCAATGCAATTATTTAGATTTTCTATTTGCTTATAATTATTAACTAGTTTTCTGATTATCTAATAATGTAATTTATAACATTTGAAATAAATTGCAAAGACTAGGAAATTTATTAGCTACATGGTACTTCAAATTTATAGAAGTTTATTTTCAGTTCAGTTTGGCAAGACGTTATTTCTGTTCTTCTAGTGGATATTTTAGAAATGGTGACATGCATACTTAAACTGAACTTCAAGTTAGTTGGCACCTTTACTTCTGTACGATATAAGGATCTTTGATTACTAACCCCAATGGCCTCCTTTCTAGTGTATTGTAAATTATGTACTGGGTTTTTTTTAATGCAAAATAATTTATAAAAGTTTTTAGAGCTTATAAGATTTAGCAAGCTTCCTAGACATAAAACTTGTGTATAGAAATAAGTTGCATATGTGTACATGAAAAGCAATTAGGATTTAAATATTTTAACATTAGTTTATAAAACACTTAAATATATAAGGCAGCTGGGAATTAAGCTATTAAAAAGGTCAGTAAGACCTATTTGGAGAAAATTATAAAGCTTTATTGAAAGACATTGTAAAAGATAAAAAAGGATTATACTATATTCATTAATTGAAAGACTTGCTGTTTCATATTCTCCCGGAGTACGATGGGAATGTTTTTATTTTACACTGGTCAGTATGGTGGCACTTAAAGGATGGCGAGTGTAACTGAGGAACAGAAGAGTTGTGTGTGATTGCTGTTAACATACCATTGAATTGGATCCAACTCATAGCAACCGGATGTTCAACAGACAAAACATTGTCCCGTCCTGCACTATCCTCACAATTGTTAGTATGTTTGAGCCTATTGTCGCAGCCACCGTCTCACATCATCTCATCGAGATTCTTACTCTTTTTCACTGACCCTTTCCTTTGCCAAGCATAATGTCGGTCCCCAGTGACTGTTACTGCTGGTATATATCCAAAGTACTTGAAAAAGAAGTCTCCCATTCTTTTTCTTTTTCTTTTTCTTTTTAACCCCCATTCTTGCTTCTAAGGAGGACCCAGGCTATCTAGTTTTTCCAAGAGAGATTTGTTTCTACTGTCAGTCCATGGTGTATTTCATATTCGTTCCAATATCAAAATCCCAAGTTATCAATTCATCTTCAGTCTTCCTTATGTACTGTCCAGCTTCTCCATGCATATGAGGCTAGAAATGTCATGGCTTAGATCTGGTGGACCTTAGTGTTCAAAGTGACATCCCTTGTTTTTAATCACACTTTATATACACAGCAGACATGATTGCTTGATTTATGTTTATGTGATCATTGATTGTGGATCCAGCTTCTCAGATTATTTGCTGAGCATACAGATTGAATAAGTGAATGGATAGAATCATGTCACACAAACAAGGACCTTGTCCTGGGTAAAGTAGAGGGTCAGTGAAAAAAGAGACAATCTGGAGATGAAGTGACCCAGTAGCTGCAACAAAAGTCTCAGTACAGCAATTGTAAGGATATTGCAGGAGTAGACAGTGTTTTGTTCGGTTGTGAATTGAATCCTATCAATGGCATGTTCCTGATGTTAAATCGTGCCGTATTCACTTGCTCTGTTGGAACGACTGCCTCTTAGTCTATATCCAGCTTCTGCATGAACCTTAGGAAATTTTCTGAAATTCCCAACCTTCACAATGTTATACATAGTTTATTATAAGCCACACTGTTAATTCCTTTGCCATAGTCATTGAAATACAAGCAAACATCATTCTGGTATTCGCTACTTTTCAGTCATGATCCATCAGCAATAATATCCCTTGTTTCATGTCCTTCTGAATCCAACTTGAATTTCTGGCAGTTCCACATTAATGTGTTTTTTGTCTTCAGTAAAATTTTACTTCTGTGTCATATTAGGTATTCTTTTGGATAACACGCATTCTGTTGAGTCACCTTTCTTTGGAATGGGCACAACTATTGATCTTTTTCAGTTGGTAGGTCAGGTAGGTGCCTTCCAAATTTCTTGGCATAGACAAATATGAGCTTCCAGGTTGCATCTGTATGTCATAGAACATCTCTCCCTGGGTATTCCATTAGTTCCTGGACCCTTGTTTTTCAGAAATGCCTCCAGGACAGCTTGAAATTTTTACTTCATTACAATTGGTTCTTTGTGTTTAGCAGCCCGATGCATAACCATTATGCCACCAGGGCTTCAATAGCAGTGCCATAGATTCTTGATGTATGCTGTATCTTGAAATGGTTAGTTTGTGACTAATTCATTCAGGATACTGACTATTCTTTTGATGCTTCCTGCATCATTCAATATTTTGCTCTTAGAATCCTTCCATATTGCAACTCAAAGCTTGATTTTTTTTCTGGTGTTTCTCTATTGGATTTCTATTCCAGATATTTTAACATTTAATTAATTTATTTTATCTATTTGAGTTGCCCTTTGAAATCTATTCAGCTCTTTTGCTGCATCATTTCTTCCATTTGCTTTAGCTGTTTTCCAAATTCATCAGATGTCTGTGTCATCAGTTTTGTGCCTTTTTAGTGATCTTTTGCTTTCTTCATGTATGATGTCCTTGATGTCATGCCATAATTCATCTGGTCTTCAGTTATTAGTATTCATTATGTCAAATCTGTTCTTGATATGGTCTCTAAAATTAGGTGGTTATATTCAAGGTGATATTTTGGTTCTATTGAACTTGTTTTAATTTTGTAAGGCTTCAACTTAAACATGACTGTGAATTCATTGATGGTCTGTTCCATAGTCAATTCTTGGCCTTGTTTTGATTAATGATGCGAAACTCTCAAACATCTCTTTTCTACAGATATAGTCAGTTTGATTACTGTGTATTCCTTTTGGCAAGGTCAGTATACATAGTTGACATTTATATTCTGAATAGGTATTTCCAATGCATAGGTAATAGAAATTAGAAAATTCATACCATCTTGGTGTCATTTCTGTCACTAAGACCATATTTTCCAGCTATAATACATTTTTTGTTTTTCTTTTTAACAATACGTTTTTCTTGGTTACTAACTCACGTTTCAGTCACCAATAATTTTAGTGTAGCTTGATTGCAAGTCTGAGTTATTTTTGACTGGAGAAGTTGGTAGAAATCATCATTCATTCATCTTTAGAATTAGTCGTTGGTATGTAAATTTGAATATTCATTGTATTTCCTGGTCTTCCTTATATGGATATTATCCTGTCACTGACACTATTCGATTTGAGCACATCTTGATATGTTCCTTTTGACAAATGAATGTGCTGCTGTTACTCTTTATATATATATTTAATCATTTTATTAAGGGCTCATATAACTCATCACAATCCATACATATATCAATTGTGTAAAGCACATTTGTACATTCATTGCCCTCATCATTTTCAAAACATTTGCTCTCACCTTAAGCCCTTGGCATCAGCTCCTCATTTTCCCCTCCCTCCCCGCTCCCCCTGCCTCATGAACCCTTGATCATTTATAAATCATTATTTTGTCATATATTGCACTGTCCGACATCTCCCTTCACCCACTTTTCTATTATCCGTCCCCCAGGGAGGAGGTTATATGTAGATCCTTATAATCGGTTCCCCCTTTCCACCTCACCATCCCTCCACTCTCCCAGTATCGCCACTCTCACCACTAGTCCTGAAGGGATCATCTGCCCTGGATTCTCTATTTTTCCAGTTCCTATCTGTACCAGTGTCCATCCTCTGGTCTAGCCAGATTTTTTAAAAATCATTTTAGTAGGGGCTCATACAACTCTTATCACAATCCACACACACATCAATTGTGTAAAGCGCATTTGTAAGGTAAAATTGGGATCCTGATAGTGGGGCGGGAGGCAGGGAGGAAGCATTTAGGAACTAGAGGAAAGTTGTGTTTCATCATTGCTACACTGCACCCTGCACCATGGCTCGTCTCCCCGCGACCCTTCCGTAAGGGGATGTGCAGTTGCCTACAGATGGGCTTTGGGTCTCCACTCCGCACTCCCCCCTTCATTCACAATGATAGGACTTTTTGTTACACAGGCTGGTGTGCTTCTTCCATGTGGGCTTTGTTGCTTCTGAGCTAGATGGCCACTTGTTTACCTTCAAGCCTTTAAGACCCCAGATGCTATATGTTTTTTTTCTTTCTTTCTTTCTTTTTTTTTTTTCAAATGATACATTATTGGGACTATTTCTTTCTTCTTTTTTTTTGCATTAGGCCAGACATTTTTTTTTCCCCAGTTGTTTTATTAGGGGCTCATACAACTCTTATCACAATCCATACATTAATCAATTGTGTAAAGCACATTTGTACATTCATTCATTGCCATCATCATTCTCAAAACATTTGTTCTCCACTTAAGCCCCTGGGATGCTATATCTTTTGATAGCTGGGCACCATCAGCTTTCTTCGTCACATTTGCTTATGTGCCCATTTGTTTTCAGCGATCATTTCAGGGAGGTGAGCATATGATTTTTTGTTCTTTGATGCCTGATAATTGATCCCTTCGGCACCTCTGAACACGCAGGCTGGTTTGCTTTTTCCATGTGGGCTTTGTTGCTTCTGCGCTAGATGGCCGCTTGTTTACCTTCAAGCCTTTAAGACCCCAGACGCTATATCTTTTGATAGCTGGGCTCCATCACCTTTCTTCACCACATTTGCTTATGCACCTGCTTTGTCTTTAGAGATTGTGTCGGGAAGGTGAGCATCATGGACTGCCAGTTTAATAGAACCAAGTATTCGTGCATTTAGGGAATACTTGAATGGAGGCCCAGTGTCCATTTGCTACCTTAATACTAAACCTATAAATATATGCACATAGATCTGTTTACACATCCTCACATATAAATATATTTACATATGTACATGCCTGTGTTTAGACCTCTATAAATGCCCTTTACCTCCTAGCTCTTTCCTCTATTTACTTTTACTTTCCTTTTGCCCCACTATTATGCTCAGCCTTCATTTGAGTTACAGTAATTCCTCTGGGTTACATCACCCTTGGTCATGCCCTACACCCTTCTCACCACCGATGTGGATCACTTGTTCCCTTTTCCCTGGGTTTGTTAACACCACTACCTTTTCCCCCACCTCCACCCTCTCCCATGACCCCCCCGGAACTGTCGGTCCCGTTGGTTTCTCCTCCAGATTGTTCATCCAGCCTGATTTATTTAGGCAGACTTGCAGAGATAATAACATGCACAAAAACAAAACAGAGCAAAATCAAGCAACAAAAAACAAAACAACAACAAGCCAATGACAAAAAACAAAACACAACACGAAAGAAAAGCTTGTAGTTAGTACAAGGACCAGAATGATTTTTTGAAATAAGGATTTTAAAGTTTCATTGCATGTATTTTGGAGTATTACCAGAAAAGACCCTTCCTTGGAAAAGCATATCTTGCATGCTTAGTTAAGTAGAGGGCAAGTAAAAAGAAAAAGTTCCTTATCAAGATGGACTGACACAGTGGTTACAACAATGGAAGAAAAAATAGCAGTTATAAGAATGATGAATTAAAAAAAAAAAGATGAATAGTTATACATAGGGTCACTATCAGTCAGCTGATTTGATAGGCACACAACCTAACCTTAACTACATATACTCTACTAAAATGAGTTTGCAGTAGGAGATAATTTTGTTTTCATGCAGTCTTTTCCACTCTGTGTCCTATGTATTAGTTAAACAAAATAAAACTTTTAAAAAAATTGCTGTTGAGATTGAAGAGGCAGGTTGTCGGGAATTCAAAAAAATACAGGTAATACATATCACCTACCCACAATTTCATGCCTTAGTGTTTTTATTCTTTCTCTATCACAGGCAAGGCTGTTTTCTTGGCCCGAGATAAGCATCATTTGGCTGATCTAAGCCATCTTATTCGCCATGAAGCTCCGTACCTGTTCCAGAAATATGTTAAAGAGTCCCATGGGCGTGATGTAAGAGTGATTGTTGTAGGAGGCCGGGTGGTTGGCACCATGTTACGCTGTTCAACAGATGGAAGGATGCAAAGCAACTGCTCACTAGGTAAAAATCAGTGCAGGTATATTTGTAGCATATGTCTGTATAGTATATATTCATATAAACTAGTGATCTTTTTACTTAGCAAATTAAAAGCACTGTTTTTCCACATGTAAATGTGATTTGTAGACTTACCATCACTATAACAAATACTTATTTTTTTATGCAAACAATAAGCAATAGCTATGAGGATGGTGTAAGACCAGGCAGTATTTTTTTGCTGTTTTGAAATATGATATCATGAGTTGCCTCAGAGGCCCGTAGCAGTAACACATTCAAGGTTCTTTACCCACCACTGCTTTACTCCATATTTTCATCATCCCTTTCGGTCTTTATTCTTAGTCATTTGTTATACTAGTGTATTTCATTATTATTCATGGATCGTGGGGTTATGTGAGTGATATAGCTTCCCTCACATCTTTTTTTTCTTTCTCCCTCAAGGTAAGAATATTACCATTTCTGAAGGAATTCTTAGATTTTTAGAGAATCTTGACTTTAATTCTGTTGCCTTCTACGTTTCATTATTGAAGTTTAATG